CCTGGGATAAATGCATGTTTGTCTATGAAATTTACCTTAAGACTGGTCAACAAACATTTTTTAGTGCGCAAAACGTTCCCGCATAATCTATTTTGCTCCATTTGATTCCTCTAAGCTCCAAAAATGCAGTTGCACAAAAAGAGGGCGATTCGCCCAGTTAATAACAGTTGAAATCTGGGCCGTCGATAATTCACGTATTTTAATTAAAAGTGCATATCGGCGAGGGCAAGTTTGCAAAAATCTATTAGACACGTCAAGTGAAATAAGGGCGATTTCGGGCATGCCGTGCGTCTTCGTTCGCTCCTGCAAAGTTATTTCGGGTGGGCGGCCACCCCGCATGAGATAAGGCACAACGATCTACGTTACGGCGAACGCAACCAACCAGAAACTAATGATAAGGGCTGAAGGAAGTCAGACAGAGGCGGGACTTAAGGGATGTTGCAGCACGGAAGCTCCCGCTTCGGGGGCCCTTCGACTGAGCGGCGAGCCCTTTCGGATCAAATAAGTTGTTTCGATATTTTCCCACAGCTCGCTCCCCAACGGCCCCGAATCTCCCCGGCTCGAGCATTATTATATAAATATATACGATGGAATAAAGTCGGATTATTTCATTTCGGCTTTTAATTAAATGGCCCGAATGTTGCGCTTGTTCTAATCACGTTGAGACGCTCGCCAAATGAATTACTGCAATTGGCTGAAGGTATTTGTGGTATTATTGGAAAGTATATAAAGTATTATAATGTGTGAACGTTCAAAAAGTATTCAGCCGATTTCGGAATTTCGAGTGCAATGCTCAAGTGCGCCTCTTTGTTTTTAGAGGGTGGTTCTCAAGCTCAAACTAGCTCTAAAGTGGCTTAGATTTTGCGGCCAGGGAAAATAGTTTGTTCCCGATGTTTCGCAAGCACCAGCGGCTTGCATCTTCTGAACAGCACCATTCTGAACCGCTTTATTGCATGTTCTTTTTCTTGCAGTTATTGACTTGGATGGACTAAATTCCGACGAAACGAACTCAGGAGACAATTCGAACGCTGGTTCCAGTATAGGCCCCGATGACGATCAGGCGAGACTGCGACTGAAACGTAAACTCCAAAGAAACCGCACGTCGTTCACTAACGACCAGATCGACAGTTTGGAAAAAGGTAAAAACTCCTCCTTAGAAAAAATACAGTCTTCTGTTATCTATGAAATTATAAAAATGATCGTCGTTTTGTGCAAGGGTGGCGCAAGATTATTGCAAAATTTCATGTTTTCCGTCGCGTTTTGCATGTTTCTCGGAGGCAAAATGAGCAAGAACGCTCGTTTTTACATCATTCCAGAGATAACTAAATGGCCTTTAGTCGAAGTTTCTCAAGAAC